TAAGATGCAGGCAACTATGTGTATTTTCTCAGTAACAGCTACTTCACATTTTTTTGAAAGTAGATGAAGCATAAATCATGAATTAATAAAATACTCTGACAGTGAAGCTGCTTCTGTATCTGGCTAAGGGGATTAATTCATGCCTCCACAGCCCTGAGTAGAAGAAATTAGATCGTAGTTTCAAAAAACAGTCCATATGCTTTTATTCTTCCTTTCATCCTCTCTGTTGGTTTTTGGGTAACTTTATATATTCTAGAGTGAGAGTCAGAAAATTGCAGCCCATTCGTCTGCTATGTGCATTCGGAATGAACTTTTATTCAATATAACCACACTCATTCACTCATGTGTTGTCTGTGGCTCTCGTACTGCAATGCCGGAATTGAGTAGTTGCGACAGAGACAAACATGTGACACATGAAGCCAACTGTACTATTTGGGCCTTTTAGAAGAAAACTTTGCTGACTCCTAAGATTTTGAAATATGTCTGTGTGTTGACCTATGTCTGGGTACTCTTTCGATGATGTCTGGAATATAGGTTGAGTAGTTTCCAGAATAGCATATCATAAGCCAGTGACAAGTGTCTGTTGAATTAAATATCCAGAAAGCATCAGTGCTAAGATATGTTATTAGCAGATATTAACATAATATGACCTAACTTTCCCAGCTTGTTTAATTCCCTGAGCATGGAAGAGTGATCTATACTGTGAAAGAAAGGGTTGGTTTCACTGAAAGTGGACACTATGATGAATTCACTGGGCATGTGGGAAGGATGAAAGCTTCTCAATTAGGGATAGGGAGTTCCACCCAATGAATGGGTGAGTCCCCAAGGTGGCAGGCCACTCATGTTTTGTGAATGGGAGGCTATTTCTCATTTTTCTTGCTAGTAGAGCTTCCACAGGAAGCCTTCTCCCTTACCCTGTCCTATCCAAACATTTTACTTAACCCGTATTAGTATGACTTTGCCCAGTCCCTTTCACAATGTGTTTGTTGGCAAAGAAATGGAAAAACCATTCAAGTTGAAATTTTACCAACTGGTATAATTTAGTTAGAGCAGTGTTCTTGTAATGTCATTTATTTGCAGCCCCACTGAATGACTTTATTTGTTCAGAAGGAACTCTAGCCTCCGGGCTAAAGCAACTTTCACGACAGACAGACTCTGGGCAGCAAGAGGTACATGTAGAACTCTTTGTGTGCTGTTGAACTCGAGACCCTCTCCTGAGCCTGGGAGTGTGGGAACCAGTACCTGGCCAGGATTGAGCACAGGCCACCCACTCATTTCACACAGCCCTTTAAATGCTTATCATATGATTCTTAGGTGACTCCTTGTGTTGATCTTGCCCTGAACAGTTGTGTGTCAAATTACTAATTATCCCTACAGCCCTGCTATATAAATCCATTTCATTTCCACCTCCACTTTTGGAAGCCACTGTCATAACCTCAGGAGCTAGCTGATTCCTCCAGTGCAGTGGGATGATATTCCATTACCATAGTAGACACTACCACCAAGCAATGTTTATCTAACTAAACAGTAATACCTAGTGACCAAAATAAACGAAGAAAGAAGAAAAAGAAAGAAAGAGAAAAACCACTCTGCACTTGTGGTAGAAGTTGCCCTGTGTTAGGCCAATCTCATACTTCAATTTCACTGATTGACATTGTACATGTTCCTGTGCCATATGGAAATAACAAGCCACCATCTGGGGGTTTCATCATCTTACTCTGAGGCAAGGGTGTCTTTAAAGATTATGATTTGCCTACTTGGCAAGGAAATCCTGCTTTAGCTTCAGTGATTAGAAAATGCAAGGAGTGATTTCCCTCCAACTGGACCCCAAAGACCAGCTCAGACAGACAGAGCAGTTCCCATGAAAACTCTTCCAACTGCATGTCAAAATTTACCTACTGTTTCTATAATACACTCACTAAGACATTGCTATTAAGATTTCATGAATATTTACATTTTAAATGACCTATTAATCTCAGCTTACAAAATGCTAAAAACATGGTCATACTTGAACTTGAGGAATACAAATCTAGCAGAATATGTGAGACAGGATTTGGTGATTGTGGTGGGGTGAAAGAACGACTTAGGGACTGAGAGTATTTTGATTGAAGCACAGGATTATTTTTTCTGTGGTAATTTATTTGTAGCTATTAGAAGTAATGAATTACATGGACATCTTAAATATGATCTAAGTGTCTTGATATAAAAATAAGAACCCAGGTTTTTTATTCTTTTATGAATCAACTGCAAATCAGGCTGAGGGTTTAAACTTAACTGTCTACTGTTTTATTGTAATTTTAAATAAAACTTTTATTTGTGCATTTCCTGCTTATCTTTCAAATAGCTGACATATAAGCAAAAAGGACACTCATTTTTATGGGCATGAAGGGCAATACTATTTCACTGAACCTGTGAACATTTATTGTGCATTTATCATATGCCAGGTATGGGGCCAGGTTTTGGGGATACAATAATGAGAAAAGATTGATTCAATCATGCGGTTTTAATGCCTTCTTAGACATGATAAGTTAAATTAGAATAGCTGTAAGTCCACTCATTGAAAATATGACAGATGCAATAATTATAAATAATTACATAGTCGCATAATTTACGTTGTAACTACAACTTTTCTATTACTTTATAATTTAGTATCATATATTTCTTGTCAACTTTTTTTTGGATTAGGAAAATACTTCTATACTTTGGAGAAAATGAAAAACTGTGAGATATTTTTTTGTTTGTAAACACATTTGATTTAAGCCATTTTTTTTTTCTCACTGTGCTTTGCCAGCCTTGCTTTTCATTGCTCCCTGTCTTCCTCACCGTGCTCGTCAGACGAAGGGGCTTCTATTCTGTCAGAGGATCCACAGTTTCCCATGTCTCCGTTCATCCATTCTCCTTCCCAGGGGTGTCCTCCTTCCAACATCTCCACCGACCTAAATCTACTCATGTTCTAAGAGCCAGCATTGATGCCATGTCAATTAAACGCTGTGCTTCTGAACAACTGCAGCATTTTAAAATTGTTTTGATTCTAAGTGGTAATTCAGTGAAGAAAGGAATGTTTGTGTAATAATTATTTACCTTTTTTTTCTGCTAGGGGGGCCACTTACAGGGAGGAAAGCTCTCCAGGGATCTAGCACAACTCCTTGCTTTTGTAGGTATTAAATACATGCATACTATGGATATGATACAGTGAGAAACCAGATAATTCCCAATTACCTTTAAAATTAGGCTCAATTTTTGACCTTTTATGTGGATTGGAAGCTCCACGAGCCATAGGTAGACAACTTGTTTTAGGAATTTACATGCTCATGGTGCTTATTTTAGGTGGCATATGATCCCTTACGTACTCTGTAACACCTAAAGTTTGATCAGGTCAGCATTGGGTCCTTAGGAGGGCAGAGTTAGACAATTCTTCAAAGTAACATTTGCAGTTTGTGAATAATCACCCTCAAGGTTGCAACTTTTGCTATTTTCCAGGCTTCCTTGGTCCCTCTTCAGCCAGACAATGAAATGGCAAAGTGGAAAAAGTAGAATCTTCTTTGGTATGAGTCATGCCTTTTGTGTTAGATATACCCTCACCCTGTACTAGAGGAGCAGCCTGGGGTATACCAAATAACTTCATCTGCAAAATAAGAATAATAATGGTTTCCTCAATCAAGATGAAATGATAACACACATAAAGTCTAGAACAAATTATATATGCCTTTTGTTCTGTAAATAAAATTGTATTGGGACACAGGGATGCTTTCTTGTGATGTATTTTCTATGTCTGCTTTTGGTTTACCATCAGAGCTAAGTGGTTACCCTTAAGACCAGATAGTTCATAAACCTTAAAATACTTGAAGCTTTGCCTGTTATAAGCAAAGTTTTCTGATTTTGCTGACTTTTGGACTAGAAAGTGGCTTTGTACCAGGAAGATGTTCAATAATTATTAGGTATTATAATTATTCTCCTTTTCTACCACACCTAATCTGGGATGAGAGTGAAAAAGATAGAGAAAGGTAGGTAGAAGAGGGGTCAGAGTACCCTTCAGTGGAACCACAAACTGGAATAGAACTTCAGTCAGTGACTGAAACTTAACAAAGACCTGAAGAAGTGTATTTCTTTATCTTATTTGAAAATTTTCAGCAGCCCTCCTCCAATTTTTTCCTTCCTCCTAGAAAGCACAGTGAGTCACTGTAAGATTATTACATAGTTCATTCTTGATAACAGTTGTCACTGGCAGAGACCATGAAAATATTCCATCAGAGCATAGCGCTGCCACGCCAAGCAATTTTGCTTGCATAGGTATTGATTTCAATTAAAACAAGTTATCTAAAGCACTGGGCTTCCTGTTGGCTGCATTCATTGTCCAGTGATGCAAATAGAAAGCCTCTTCTGAGCCTAGGCTATCTGGTTACTTACAATGAGGCCCAGGCCACCGAAGTATAAACAAAACCCAAGCACCAATCAGTGTAGAAGGAAATGATCCCCATTTGCCCTGCATGATATCATCTGCTTGGGCCTAACAATTTTCTAACATTTATTGACCATGAGAGCAGGCAAATCTTATGAATTCATCTTATTCCTTATCAAGGCAGGTAGTCAAGTGTATCCCAAAACACTTGCTTTGGTTCAGTTCTTTATGTGTATGTCTTTTCTCATCCTTTCTTTCTTTATCCAGTATGCCAATCTCTGTGGACGGAGTTTGTGTGTTTCCACAAAGCATAGCGTGATTGTGCTCTATGTCTCTGTGTTATCCCAGGTATGTTTAGCTTTTGAACAGCTATTTTATTCTACTTGTGAGCCTAATCCAGTGATCAGACTGCTTAGTTTTCACAGAGTGATTCAGCAATTTGTAGAAGTGGTGCTTTTGTTTAATAGCAAAACTGACCTTTGCCATTCCCGAAGGAACATGGTACATGAGGCCAACTATGTAGAACATGCTGTAATTTGTGATTTTGGACATTCACATATTTGAATTCTTGAATTTAAGGCTGGTATAGTGCATCAATTCACCTAGCTAGAAAGTGAGCTTAGGAGATGAGGTACAGATTGGGTAGCTGTTTCTCAGACCACCTTCCTTTTGACACTATCTACTCCAGCCTCCTTCAGAGTCAGTGCAGTCCTGTGCCTGAGTTGTGGTTAATGAACATGAGGAACATCTTATATGTCTTTCCAGATTTAAATCGTAGAACTCTAAACGTTGACTTCTGCCTTCTTTTCCTCTCATACAGGTGTATGGAGAGGACTGCCAGAACACAGAAGAGGATGGAGTAGCAAAATGGAAGAAGCCGGGATTTCTGAAAGTTTGTGGAGCAGAACTTCTAGTTCCACCCCTTTGTCACCACTAGCCCACACCGGATTATGATGAGACCAAAAGTAAGTTTACTGTGTTAAACACTACTGAGATTTTGGGTTGTTTTTATAGCAGTTTAACTTGACTCATATACCAGCTTTCATTCCGCATGTCATTGTTGTTTTCATTTACCATCTTCCCATATGAAGCAACTTCACTGTATTTAATGGAATAGATGATAGGGTATAAAGGTATTTGGAAATGTGAAGAGATATGAAGATGTGTGGGAATATCTGATGAGAATATGAAAGTTCTTAAGTGGTTTTTCATTCATGTCATTCTTGTGTTGTAGGTGACTCATTTAATGCCAGAATAACAATGAGAAGTTGATGTCTTGGTTCTATTTTATACATAGAACTTTTTTTGTGTGTGTAGGGAGTTCTGTCTTCCCTGGGTGGGTCCATTCCTCTATATTTACACCTTGTATGGGAAATATCAAACTTACGGATTGGGAAGAAGATGAGAAAATGATATATGGTTTTGTTGGACTCAATCTTTATACTTGAGAGGGGAGTGAATGTCCTTAAGGAGGCCAGCACAAGAAAGTTATTTTGTGGACAAGGAATCTGTTGGTTATATTTTCAGCATATTTTCTGTCCCTCTTTTTCCCCAGTCCTGTCTCTTCACTTTTCCCAAGGAAATATGAGAGTGAAAAGTGACACGTGACATTTCTAAGTAAAAGCTTTAACTGCTCTGCATGGTTTCCCTCTGCCACAGGCATGACCCAGACAAGGGCTCGCTGTGCTTTCAATGTTGATTACAGAATGAGGGGGTTGCTAAGTGTAGACTCAGATAACACGATGAACATGAACAGGAGCAAAGTACAAACCTTTGTTGTTAAAATTATGAAGATTTTGGAGAAACTTCTGCCACTTAGCCTAAGCTGATGACACACTGGAACTTAGAGAGTTTAGGTAACTTGCTTAACATCACAAGCCTAATAAGTGTGGAGTCAGGGTTTGAACCCAGGAAGTCTAACTGCAGAACCTGTACTTACAACTACTCCTGTGTAGGAGGAGGAATTTCCTGGCCTTTGTGTGTAGAACAGACTGGAACAGGGAGAGATTAGAGACAAAGAGAACATTTAGGAGCAATCTAAATATGAGGTTATGAGAATTGGAGAGAGGATGCTTATTTAGGGACTATGATTTGTGTGGCGTAGATGCCTCCTAAATAACACTTGAAAAGGTGAATGAATGCGTTTTTGTGACTACAGGTGCCAGGAAGTGCTGCTGTCACCACCACATTCTGGGAGTCATGCTCTTTACCGTAATTCTTTGCTGTGCCCACGCATCATTGCTGGCAAGGTCCTTGAGTCACAGACGGCTCCTGGAGGACGGCTCCTGGAAGACAGCTCCTACCCAAACCGAGGAAGGGCTTTTTCTCTTTTCCCTCCCATCTGTCCCTTTGTGAATTCCGCACTATCATGGGAATTTAATTCAACCTTCTTTTGTGCTTCTTACAATGCCACGGCAGAAAACCTTCTCACATTATCTTTTCCCCTGCCATTTTCCCCACCTTGGCCTTTGCTTTTGGCATTAAGAATAGCACAAGGCCTTATGAAAAGGTGAAGAAATTTAACTTGATTTACCTGTTCCACAGTGCAAACACATCAAAATGTCATGTTGTAAACTACAAATCTGTACTATTTTCACTTTTCAATTAAAAAAGGACCAAAAGCATCTCTTCAGGGTAATAGCTGCAATTCTTTTTCATTTTATTGGTATACATTCACAGTGCATAATAATGATGTTCATTTTAGGGAATTGGCACATATATAAATTGAATCTTGATCATTTTTCGTCCCTCTCCTTTTTTACCCTTTCTCTGGTCCCTTTTCCCATCTCCACAAAGTCTATTCCCCTTTTTTCTACCATCTCTTCTTTATTTTACTCCTTAAATTACTGTATTTATATTTTGGGTTTCATAAGAGAAACCACACAATATTTATTCTTTTGAGTCTGGTTTATTTCACTAAATATTATGGTCTCAAGATTCATCCATTTTGCTACAAATGACTCAAATTCATTCATTTTTATGGTTGAATAGTACTCCATTGTGTATGTATTCAGCATATACTCTTCATATACTCGACTGTTGATGGGGATGTAGGCTGTTTCCATAGTTTAGCTATTGTGAATTGTACTCTATAAACATGGGTATGCATGTGTCACTGTAATATGATGTCTTTAACTCTTTTTGGAAGATACCCAAAAGAAATAAAGCTGGTTCAAATGGAATTTCTATTTTTAGTTTTGTGAAGAATCTCTATACTGAGTTCCATAGTGGTTGGATTAGTTCACATTCACATCAAAACTTCAGAAGGATTCTTTTTTTTCACTAACTGCAATTCTTTTCTGATTTGGGGCCACATTTCAAGTCTATACATCTTGCTTTGCCTAACCCTTCATACTAAAAAAGGGAGTCAGTAAAACTAAAACCTATGTTTGCTCTGTGTTGGTCTAAGCAAGTCCTATATATCAGTAGTTGTTAGAAAAGATACGGAAAATTGAAAGGAATAATGGACAAAAAATGATAATGCACAAAGAATGAGGTGAGGAAGAAAGAAAAGAGTAATGAGAAATAAAATATATATCAATTTTACCTTCTAGTAAAAGCATGCATACTTAATAATTAATATTAATTGATATCATTTTTAAAAACTATATGACAGAAGCAGATACCACTTTCTGTAGATAAAATTGATATGCTATGCTTGAATGTAATTTTATAAGAATGAATAATTTTATAAAACACCTAATACAATGTTTAACAACCAAGCTAAATTCAAAAATGATAGTTTAACTTGAAAAACATATTTCTAGTAGGTATTATGCCCCTAATAATATGATCATCTTATAAGTTATGTAACTGACTTGGAGTGAACATTCAGGAAAAGTTGAGTGGAGTCTATGAAGTCAGGAATGGTGTAACGTCATACTGAACACGAGTTCAGGTCCATAGGAGTCCCTTTAGAAGCTACTGGTTTTCAACCCATACACTAAGGCTGGAGAACACAAAGAGGAAGGAGACACAGCCCTGCAGGGAGCTGAGGACTCATCCAGGAAATCAGGTAGAAGAGAACTGGTGGTGGGAATACTCGAAGACTTCCTGGATGATGGGAAGTATATGGTTAATCTTGAATGTATAGAACACTGCAGTGAAAAGAAAGAAGAGGCCTCTGAAAAAGTACGGATTGTTCAGAATTGCCAAAGTGTAAAATGTGAAGCCATGAGCAATACCTAATGAGAATATAAAAGTTAGAAGAAATTCCTTGGTAACTTTGCATGGCAGTTACAGTTATGTTATTCTATGAATGGGCACTTCAATAATAGTTCAGATAAAACCATGAAAAAAGTCATCATAAATCATCAATATGTTTGATGCCATTCCCAGTGGGTGATATTTCTTATATTCTTACATGTATTATGTGCAATATTTGCACATTATAAAAATCTAAGTACCCAAGAAGTATATATTTAAATGTTAAGTGTAGGGATTGGAAATGATGTCCTATAAATTCAAAGGAAGCAGGAAATCTTTGAAGTTGAAAGATGTTCTTTTCTTTTCAGTTGTTCTTAATTGTCTGTTGTTACATGGTAAAGCCTCTCTCTTCTCCCTCCCTTCATTTTCTTCCATGACTCTGGTCTCTGAGTTTTAGGATATACACCAAGAACTGGGAATATAGTGTTGAGCAGAAATAAACAGATATTAGATAATTATCTCCCCTGACAAAATAATGTTAGTGGTAAGCATTCCCCAGAAAGCATGTTCCATATAACAGGATGGGCAAAAGAACAGGGTTAAGTGGAATATGGGAGGATTTTCCTGGAGTGAGTTCTTTAAACTGACTTCTGAGGCATGATGAAGAGAAGACAAAGTGGATTGCTGAAGGCAAAGTAAGCGTGGACAGATGATGCAGAGTGGGGGAGGACCTGTGAGCCTGGCTAAATGATGTGACAAAAGAAAGAGACAGGAGAAATCCCAAAGGACAGCAGAGAGGACACATCTGCTCCTGTAACCAGAATGCCAGTTGCTATCATATCCATGTGAAAGTCTTTTCTGACACCATAAAATCCATCCTTTCTTTCATCCTACTTTTTATTTTAGTAATTTCAATGGAATCTATTGAGCTTTTTATTTTTCTCTTCTTGCTTTCCTTTAGTGGTGATTAATTTGGGCCCTCCATGTGCAGAACTTCTTCAGGCACAGTTTAGACTCACATGGGCAGACTGCAGTGAACTTGAAAAGAAGCACAACTTCATTTCTTTGTATTTCATCTATTGTATACCTTTTGATTCTGACATATCTCACACTGAGCTAGGGAGGTTGAGCTTCAGCCCAGAAATGACTTTGGCCCTTTCAGCATGGCCATTTCGTTTCATTTTCAGTGTGAGTGTGGCTACACGACTGCTCTTCTTAGTAGATGCATTGGGCTAGTTGGGCCCCAAGGATTTGGATATAAACTTGTTACCACTGGCAGTTGTTCAGGCACAAAATATCTTGATACTGATGTTTCTCCCATTCTATGTTTAACAGATGGGCCTATTAAACCATATTCAGTGCCCAGTAGCTGATGAGCAGGAAGAGGAATATGATAGATCTGGTGAATCATGAAGGCTATTCTAAGATTGCAGGACTCATTCCTATTTTTCCTTTGTACAAAACTAAGCAGCAACTTTGTTGGAGAAAAATCACAAAGCCAAGATGACTGAATCAGAATTCAGAAACCTCCAGTGGGCACTCAGCATTGCTCAGGAATCCTATTTTTTCCATCTCTGTGAGATGACTGTAGCATATCATCTCCTTTTTCCTTAAACCTCCCACACATCCTCCTCCTACTGATGACCCAGACTCATCCTTCATTGAGAAAATAGAAGTCACTGGAAATGAACTCACTCATCTTCCCACCATAAAGCCTGCCAACTCAGTGCATCTGCGTCCAAATTAATCTTCCACAATGAAGAAAGTGACCCGTTTCTCCACCTGTCCTGTGGATCTCATTACCTCTTCGTTTATCAAAGACTTAGCTCCAAAAGTTGTTACTCTTTCGCTTAGCACTACTATCTCACTGCCATCATACACACCAGCTCCAGTATTGCCTGCCCTTTAATAATTTTTTTTACATAACTATACATATTGTTTGAGATCCTGCCCTATTTTTCTGTTTTCTTCTATAAGAAAAACTTTAACTAACCAAACCTCCTGATTTTCCTTCTCTTACTGAGTCCAGTGTTTCCCTTCCTCTGATAATTGGAACTTTCTTTGTTAAAATCAACAGCAACCTTCAGGTTATCAAATCCAGTGGATACATTCCTTGCTAATCTTCCCTGACTTCTTATTTGTCAAAGTCAACTCTACCTGCTTGAAGCATGCTTATCACTTGACTTCTAGCATCATTTTCTTAAATTTGTTCTACTTCTCAGTATCCTTGTTGGGTTTTCCTCTTAATTGTAGGCATTTCTCCAAGCTTGTCCTAGATCTTTTTCTCCTCTTTAATCTAAATGCTCTATTTTGTTATGTGACTCACTTCTACTGCTTGAAAATTTATGCTTTAGGTTCTGATGTCTCTGCTGTGATCCAAATTCATGCATCTAACTCATTGCTTGAATCTTTGCTTGTATAAATTATGAATATTACATATTCAAATTTCCAAAACAAAACACTGACTTCCTCGTCCTCATCTGACTTAAGAAACTTTTCATCTGGTTAGTCAAGACAAAGCCTAAGATCTGTTATTTGGAAAAAAAATGAGATGGAATTTGTATAATATAAAATTCACCATTTTAAAGTGAAGAATCCATTGGCATTTGGTACAATCACGATGTTGTTTCTCTACCTACTTCCAAAACATTTTCATCACTCCAACAAGGAATTCTATACTTAGTAAGGAGTTACTTCTCATCTTCCTCTTCTCTCAGAAGAGGCAATATTAGTTATGACCAATATGTTCTTGGTCTTCATGGATTTACTTACTGTACATATAATATTTTACATAAATAGAATCAAACAATATGTGATCTATTGTGTCTGACTTCTTTCACTTAGCAAAATGTTTAGAATTTCATCCACTTTGTGGATCTTTTAATGGTTGAATAATATTCCATCGTGTGTATAGTTGTTTCTTCGTACTCATGGGTAACTGGCTCCAGGAGCTCCATAAAATATAACAATCTGTGATGTTCATGTTCCTTATATAAAAACAACATAGTATCCTATGAAATCTACCTGTGTACTTAAAACTTTCATTAGATTACTTATAATACTTAATGCAATGCGAATGTTATATAAATAATTGTTACATTGAACTGTTTAGGAAATAGTGACAAGAAAAAAATTCCTCATGTTCAGCACAGATGCAGTTTTTTCCAGAATATTTTCCATCCAAGACTTTTAATTTGAGGATGTGGAAATGTGGATATGGGGGGCCAACAATCTATGCCACCATTTATTTACTCATTCATCCAGAGATGGACATTTGCATTGTTTCCACCTTCTTGATATTGTGAAAAGTGTGAGATTCATTCCTGAACTTCCTTTGTCTTACTTTCATGTACAACCTAGGAGTTCCAGTTTACCTATGCCCACAATATATATTGACGCATCTTTCTCACTGATGCCATACATCCCTCTATTTCAAGGCTTCAGAATTTCTATCATATCTTATGCCCTAAGTATACTCTTCATGCACAGTAGCCTTAAAATAATGAAAATTCTTAGTAGTAGCTTATATATTTATATATGTAAATAACTTGCATTGAGTAGTTAGTTACTGAGCCTTAATCATTGTTCTATGAATTGCCTGTGCAGCAAATCATTTAAATTTCAAAACATTGGAGTAAGTACTATTACTCTTGTTGTTTGCAAATGAGGAAACACAATGCTACCCACCTCATACAATGCAAGAGTCGCGCCTTAGTAACCTGTCTCAAGAAGCTGCCCTTCGATGTTATGTTAGATAGTCTAAATCACATCTTATCTTTGTCCTTCCAAAAGCCACTCAGAACTTTCCTAGTCTACTATTATGAGTCATGACCTGAAGGCCTGTGTGAGCTGGACCTTGACTATTTTCTGAGCCTCATCTGGCCACACTTTGCATTACTCACTCTGAGTTAGTGGCTTCTTTTCTCAAACCCTGTATTACACTCAGCTTGCTCCTGCCTTCAGGTCTATGCACCT